GTTCCCCTTCATGTCCAATTTAATGCTGAACCCTTTCAGAAACAATTCAACAAACCAGTTGGCAGATGTTTACACTAATTTCAGGACATTTATCAGATATTTCTTGTTTTAATTAAAGTCTTGAGTGTTAGGTCAGGTGATCGTAATGGCTACTCAATTGCCTCACGTCATGCTAGCCACCCACTTCAGCTCAAAAAAAGAAATTTACTTTGCTTCATCATATATATATATATATATATATATATATATATATATATATATATATTATTTAAGACCAAAGCTTCTTAAAAGAAGGTTTCGAATTGGCCACGCCTAAAAGAAGAAAAAAATTGCAAGTAAATAAATGAACAACCAGCACACAATACAGGTGGTCACAAAATTAACAAGAAAAGATGTGGGGTTTCTGATACCATTATAGAAAGAAATTCCTACATTTTTTGAAAACACCATAACAACATGCATAATAAAGAAAAAACTTAAACTGCAACTCCAAAAATGGGATTTATGCACACAACTGGACAAAATGCATCAAGTCCTATATAGGTATCAGCCAAACACTTAAACAACAGAGGTTCCCTTCACAAAAGCAACATTAAATTACCAGACAACAGAAAACTCTCTATCACAACACATCTGCAAATATAATCAAGGTAAATTTAAAATTATTCCAATATATAAACAGTCAATTTTTCTTACTTACAAAATACAAGAAATAAACTTCATAGACAAATTTAAACCAGCACTAAACTGATCATAACCCCAGACACATAAACACACATCATAAACACACAATGGCCGAACTCATAAGTCACAGAGAGAGAGAGAGAGAGAGAGAGGGGAACCACACGCAAATGTCTATGGAGAACAAATATATACACACATACTGGCAAAAATAGACTAGTCGTACCACACGCTTACACACACGAATGCTATGCACCATACGATGTGTGTGTGTATATATGCGTATATATATTTATACCAATTCCTTATAATAAAACAATATATATATGGAGAAGGAATATGTATACTCATACTAGCAAAAACACAGACAACAATGACACCCTTCCTTCGCCCTTTCTCTGACCAATCCTAATTCTTTTATTGCCCCTTAAGCAGGGGTATATTTTCTCCACAAGTCCCCTAAAATTTAGATTACTATTATACATTAAAGATAATGATTAAACATCGGAAAACATAAGGAAAGATTAATTCCTTTAAATAATATGTGGAAATAACTATTCTTTGCCTGATGAAGATCGCAAGACTCAAAACGCGTGTAGCAAATGTATGAAAAATAAAGTATAATATATATTTTAAATATCCACATTATAACCAAAAACGTTTGCGGCTTCTCTCTAATCTTTAATATATATATATATATATATATATATATATATATATATATATATATATATATATATATATATATATATATATATAACGGCTGTAACGGCTTGTTAGATTAAGTCTGTATCTTAGAAGTGATTAAAGTTAACTTACTGGAATTCTCCAAGGTTCTTATAGCACTATTGGACTCTACTTTGAGCAATAAGATTGTATAATTACGCTTCAAGTTTAACAGAAGAATCGTGATGAAGACGGTCATAAACGAAAATGACATGTTCATCAATAATTAATCATAGCTAAGGATTGGAAACTCATGAAGTATTGAAATTAAGTTCATATATATATATATATATATATATATATTATTCTAGGATCCTTTTCCAACTTATTCAAGATGATCTTCGCCCTCTCTAAGCTTCTAACTTTCTGTTCTGAATTAACAAGTTGTCTCACGGGTTTCATGTATGATTTAATTTTCAAGTTTTTTTTTTCACTGCTATTTGGAGTGTCATCGCTGAAATTCCTCTCTTACGTGCCAAAAGTCTTATGGATTGAGTTAGATCTTTTCTAATTGACCTTTTAACACTAAATTGAAGTAATGATCCCTCTTGTGACCTGATTTCTACTGTTCCCTCTTTTTTAAACTCATTCACCGTTCTCTTGAATGGACTTTGAAGATGAAAGCTAATGTGTGAATGTTGGTAACATTACTGAAAGCCCGAGTGATCTTTTTTCTCTCACCATTGCTCACTTCAATTTTAACCTACTCTCTTTTCAGCTGAATGACTCAAAAATTTTTCAGTGATTCTTACGAAAAATGGTGTCAATATGGCTAAGCGTCTTATCAGATAACATGAAAAAAAACTCATTTAGTTTAGTGTTTTTTTAGTTATTAAAAATTTTGTGGAATGGACAATTATGCTGTTACAAGATTTTAACAATTTTGCTGTTACACCCATTATGTATTTCTAAAGAATTAATGAATCAATTTTTAATCAGGAATTGTTTATTATTTCAAACATTACTGCACTGGATACTCGTATTTGAAATAGACGTCCTGTTTTTTTTGTTGTTTTAAACAGTGTTTATTATATATATGGACCTGCGTATTCTAGAAATCTTAAAACGTGCTCAATCATTTGATCCCACTTGCTTAACCTCTCAGCTTAAATACAAGTATCCATTATAATAAGTTTTATGATGTCAACGAACACTCGTTGCCACTTTTTTAATGTCAACAAATAATCGTTGTCACTTTCATAAATGCTCATTGTAGTAGAGACTTTGTAATCGCAGGTACAACTATAGTACTACCGTTGAACAATATTGGTGTCAGAAGCCTTCGAATAGCACTCGCACTAATAGTACTTGCTCGATAATACTCGCTCGAATAGTAATCCGTATAGTGATCTGAATAGAGAAATAGTATAGCAAATAGAGTAGAGAATAGCGTTCCGTATAGTAATAGAGGATAGACCAGAAATAGAGATCCGAATAGTAACAGAGGATAGACTAGAAATTGCGATCATTTAGACGTCGCGCGACTTTCTATATATGCTGTTTCTCTATGTTCATGTGATCCACTTAATTCAATAATGGGATCGCCTGTGTTTGCTCACTGGCGATCTATGTTCAAACTCAAGTGTCGGCAGCAACACTGTATTCCTATATAACAATAATGTTTGAAACAAATAAAATGTTGGATAAAAATAAATTCATTAATTCTTTTGAAATTGATTCATTTATTTTTCGGATACGAACCTGAGCGGATATGAGCTTTTCGGGAAAATAATCGGGGAATGGAGGTTCTGCTTCCTTAAAAAAGGAAACTGGAGCCGTGTCGAAACGTGACTTTGTTCACGTCCACACGGTAGTGCTCACCGGATCAAACGAGTGTTTCTCCTACAAATGTGGTCGCAGGTTCTATCCAGAGTCCATTTTCTTTATGAAGATAAATACACCCACGCACTGAATCTTGGCGACCTTGGCGTGGTGCAAATGTTAGCAAGTTTGTCACGCTAGATCAGTTACAAGTGAAAAGTGAGTTCGATCCTCACTAGGTGACACATACGTTCGGCTTTGTGCCACATCTAAGCTAAGCTGAGAAAATAACTACGATTTCACAGCAAAAGTTGCACCTCAGTGTGGTGCAAATGTTAGCAAGTTTGTCACGCTAGATCAGTTACAACTGTAAAGTGAGTTCGATCCTCACTAGGTGCCACATACTTTTGGCCTGGTGCCACATCTAAGCTACAGTTAGAAAATAACTATTATTTAACAGCAAATGTTGCACCTCGGCGTGGATTAATGGTTAGCAAGCTTGTCTCGCTTGATCAATTACGACTGAAAAGGGAGTTCGATCCTCACTAGGTGACCCATACTTTCGGCCTGGTGCCACATCTAAGCTACGGTTAGAAAATAACTATTATTTAACAGCAAATGGGGCACCTCGGCATGGCGTAATGGTAAACAAGCTTCTCTCGTTAGATCATTTACGACTGAAAAGTGAGTTCGCTACTCATTAGATGACCCATACTTTCGGCCTTATACCACATCTAAGCTACGCTTAGTTAGAAAATAACCACATGTACTGTGTATTATATTATTAATTGCGATTATCAAAATTTCTAAGAATGAATGAAAAGGTTCATTTAAATATCTGCCTAGTAATGTGCGAGATCTTTGACATATATTGGGTTGGTCCCAAACCTACCACACTTCTTGTCCAACCCGATATTTTAATTATGGCTGACTACGCATGACTCTTATAATGTGTCAACAGTTTTATGAATTTTATCATATTTTAAAGTTTACAAGGTTACCGAACTGCAATTAAAAATTATAATTACTGAGCATGCACAAAGTTTTCAAAGAAAATTATTTTGAACAAAAAATTGAAAATAGTGTCATTCTAATAACGGATGTTAGTTTGTGTGATTTTTTTTATATAGAAGCCATTAAAATGGCGCACATCAAAGAACATACATGCTAATATTTTTATGGTTATATTTTTATTCTATTATTATTTTTTATGTCATTCTTATGACATTTTGTTGACTTTTATTGTAAAGAGCTACCGTTTATTTTATGAAAAACATTTCAAAGCTTGTGAAATCTTTCCTTAAATTCAATAAAGAGAAAATACACAAGATCAGGTGGAGCACATTTTTATCTCTAATCTGGCTTCACTTTATAACAAAGAATCGGGTCAGCCCGATAAAAGACCCCGATGAAGGCACGTCTTCCCCTACCTACCTTCGCTTTGTTCACGTCTCAAGCTGTCTTTTCGCTGTCTTTGATTCATTCCTCTGGTCCGTTAAGAATAGCATTTGTCTATAAAATAGTTTGAACAAGGCGGAGATGATTTGTGACTGGATTATACGCGGCGAATTTGTTTTGTGTTTGTTTGACAGCATATCAACAATTAGCAGGTTGTTTAAAACCGAAATCTAAATATATTGTACTTTATTCTTGGTAATAAAAACGATTTATTGACAGAAGTCTTACTTATTAAACCATAGCTAGGGGAAAAAGTGGATTCATACGTACCCAAGTGTATTTGCGCGTATATAACGAACCTAATTCTTATTGCAACTTGGCTCTCCGGTTAACAATTCCGAGCCATTATCCGTTACACCACCTGCACACCCAAGCTTACAGCACCTGGTCTCCCCAAGCGGTCACCCATCTAGGTACTGACTAGGCTCGACGTTGCTTAAATTCGGTGATCGTTCGAGAACTGGTTTTTCAACGTGATGTGGTCTTAAGCCAGTCGTGAAGTGGTAAGCAATTGTTTTCATTGTTTTTAACCCTTTACCTGCCATGAGCCTCATTTGGGGATCTGTTAAAATTAAACTCACTACATGTTATTCCTTGTATTTACATTGAATTGCTTACAGACAAATAGAAGTAATAGCAGATAAATAAATATGGTCATGGCTACGAAGAGGATACCTAAAAAGAGAAAATTAGCCACTCTTAACCTGCCATGAGCCTCATTTGGGGATCTGTTAAAATTAAACTCACTACATGTTATTCCTTGTATTTACATTGAATTGCTTACAGACAAATAGAAGTAATAGCAGATAAAAAAATATGGTCATGGCTACGAAGAGGATACCTAAAAAGAGAAAATGAGCCGCTCTTAACCTGCCATGAGCCTCATTTGGGGATCTGTTAAAATTAAACTCACTACATGTTATTCCTTGTATTTACATTGAATTGCTTACAGACAAATAGAAGTAATAACAGATGAATACATATGGTCATGGCTACGAAGAGGATACCTAAAAAGAGAAAATGAGCCGCTCTTAACCTGCCATGAGCCTCATTTGGGGATCTGTTAAAATTAAACTAACTACATGTTATTCCTTGTATTTACATTGAATTGCTTACAGACAAATAGAAGTAATAGCAGATAAATAAATATGGTCATGGCTACGAAGAGGATACTTAAAAAGAGAAAATGAGCCGCTCTTAACCTGCCATGAGCCTCATTTGGGGATCTGTTAAAATTAAACTCACTACATGTTATTCCTTGTATTTACATTGAATTGCTTACAGACAAATAGAAGTAATAACAGATGAATACATATGGTCATGGCTACGAAGAGGATACCTAAAAAGAGAAAATGAGCCGCTCTTAACCTGCCATGAGCCTCATTTGGGGATCTGTTAAAATTAAACTCACTACATGTTATTCCTTGTATTTACATTGAATTGCTTACAGACAAATAGAAGTAATAGCAGATAAATAAATATGGTCATGGCTACGAAGAGGATACCTAAAAAGAGAAAATGAGCCGCTCTTAACCTGCCATGAGCCTCATTTGGGGATCTGTTAAAATTAAACTCACTACATGTTATTCCTTGTATTTACATTGAATTGCTCATATACATTGCATTATACAACACTTAGCCTTTAAAGTTTTTATTAATAGTCATAAGAAGACACTTTCTGTCGTAATTTTACATTTCACGAGTAGAAAAATAATGACTATTTTGAAAAGTATTTTTTATTATTTCTAATCAATATTATTTTTTGATATTTTATACACATATATATTTTATATTCTAGTTTCCATAAAAAGACAGAGGTAACTACTGAAATTAAACATAAGGAATAAATACACTCCTAAGACACCTGTATGGGCCAAAAATGAGCATTAAAAAAAATTGGCAGTTAATGGGTTAAATAACCCATTGAGATTGATATGCCGTAAACCAAACCAAACCGAACCAAACAGGACCGAACAGAAGTAAAAATGTTTTACATTTACAGAACTTTAAACTGAAGAGACATTACATTAAAAATTAAACATAAATTAAACACAAAAAGGAAAACTTTTCTTAGCCGACGCCTTTCATCCTTTGATGAACTTTTTCAAGGCAAATATAAAGTTTTTATTTTGCAAAATATATATATACACAGAATTAAAGCGTCTTGGGTAAGACGATAAACTACATCCAACAGCAAGGCATATGATCAGGAGGTTTTGAGGAGCTTGCAACCACCTCTTAATTGCTGGTGTTCCCCTTTCCACCCTGACCCCGGGTGGTAGCACCTGTTAGGGTTTTAGCTATGGGCAAATCGTTAACCCCGAAACTGGGGTCAAAACACTATAAAAGTGTAAAAATAGGTTTTAATAGCAGCAATACATTTTTATTAAAAAATATTACCAGCAAATCAAAAGAAAAATTATTACCAGCAATACATTTCTGGAAAAAATATTACCAGCAATAAAAATCATGCCGGCATCAGCCCATTACCTGCCAAGAAATTAAACATAAGGAATAAATAAACCCCTAAGATTCCTGTCTGTGCCAAAAATGCGCAGTAAATATTTTTTGGTAGTTAATGAGTTAATCCATGCCTCGGTTCCGTTAAGAATAGCATTTGTCTATAAAAACGTTTGAATAATGGTCTTTTTTTTATTTTCGCCGTGAATGTCTCTGGAAGCAGTTCTGGTGATCGATTTGAGAAAGATATTACAATCCAGAAGCTATGATGACAGCAAACGGCCTACATACGGATAGAGATTGAGTTCAGTAGATATAAAAAAATAGAATGGGGGTAAGGCAAGTGTTGAGGGGTTCTCCCCTTGTTACACAAATTGACTCACCCAGTATATTCATATACTACAACTACGTGAATACCCGAAGGAGCTAGACCGAAGAGTCGAGTAGAGTCGAGAGTGACAGAGTCAAAGGTTGTATGTAACCGGAAGAGTGAGGGTGAGGTAACAGCGTTGTAGGAGTCACAGTGAGCGAGCACGTAGACTCAGTAAGAAGTCATACAGCGTTACTTCAATATCAAAAGACTGTATATATATTTTGCTACTAACCCGTATTCCTGGAACTACTAACCTGCTTTACCAGTTTGTATTATTACATTAATACATTATTTTCCTATCTTCATTCTTGGCGTTTGTTATTTATTGGTACCGGAATCCACAACAGATGTGTCTTCTTACCGGACTTATTTAATCAATGCAGCAAAGCAATTCTAAGAGAATTGTTCATTATTGGTGGCCACAATCTTAACAACATCAGATACACAGATAACACAGTGCTGATAGCGGGATACGAAAAGAGATGACAAAAACCTCCGACAGAAGGTAGCGAAGGAAAGCGAGAAGAAGGGACTAAACATAAACTACAAGAAAACAGAATGCATGCTCATCAGTAAAATGATGAGCCCAAAATGCGATTTGCAGGTCGGGGACATTAAAATCAAGCAGGTGCGGAAACTTAAATATCTGGGAAATGTCTTTTGACAGAGGACGGAAGTGTCTGCGACAAAAAATATTTCTACTCAAGACAAAACAAGTTTTATAAAAAAAAAATACCCGTAATTAAATGTAAGATAAAATTATATTCTTTCAAATACCTTGATGTATGGATCAGTTCTAATATATTTAGTATAAGAGATAAGGTTATTGATCATAGAATTTCTGTAACTGTATGATACTAATGTTTCCATCTCGTAGATCAGATCCTGAGTTGTGCCTTATGCCAAAGACATAAGGATCAACTCAGGGTTTGATTTGTTCTATTATTCTTTATTCTGTTCATTCTGTTATTCTGAGTTGTTCTGTTATTCTTTATTCTGTTATTCTGATATGTTCTGTTATTCTTTATTCTGTTATTCTGATTTGTTCTGTTATTCTTTATGTTATTCTGTTATTATGAGTTGTTCTGCTATTCTGATTTGTTCTGTTATTCTTTATTCTGTTATTCTAATTTGTTCTGTTATTCTTTATTATGTTATTCTGTTATTCTGAGTTGTTCTGTTATTCTTTATTCTGTTATTTTGAGTTGTTCTGTTATTCTTTATTCTGTTATTTTCAGTTGTTCTGGTATTCTTTATTCTGTTATTCTGTTATTCTGAGTTGTTCTGAGTTAGTCATTTCTACTTACGTTCTTTTAGTTCACTTAAAGGAAACTCTATAAACTTCAAGAGACATATTGGGATGGCCAAAGAAGCATTGCAAAAGCTTGGCAGAGTATTACAAGACAGGAAGATTTCTTTAATAACAAACAAAAGAGTCCTGAGCTGCTACATGACATCTGCCTTCTTTTACGTCAGCAAATGTTGGACGGTTGAAGAAGAGACTCGAGGCAACAGAGGCATGGCTCTACAGAAGGATGCTAAGGATATCATGGACCGAGCGTGTGAGCAACGATGTGGTTTTGTGGAGGATGCAAATAAGGAGGAAGCTTATACTTAACATCAGGAAGAGGGAGCTAAAATTTCTGCGACACGTATTGAAAAAAGAGGGCCTGGAGAATCTGATACTCACAAGTCGAATAGACACGAGGGAAAGCAAGGCTTCACATAGCGGGATTAAGAAAATGGATGACTGAACACGGTCTGGGGGAAGTAGCAAAGGGACAGAACTTATTGAGAGCTACAAGGGATAGGGAGAAGTGGAGAGCCATGATCTCATACGTCCTGAAAAGACACGGCACTTAAAAGGAAAGAAATGATCGATATCATATCTTCCGCTATTGAGCTAGATTGCGTATCACTGTGCTTTTCGTTACTACAACGCTATAAATATTTAAAAAATTAATAGACTCTTTTTAAAAAGTAACTCTTGATGTGAGACACGGATTGGCGACATAACGCCCTCAAGTTATTTTTATTAGTCCTAAATGCGAATCGCCTAAAAGCTTCGACGAACGTCTCTGCAGTTCGCCGATACATACCGATCATTTCTGCAAAATTAAATTATTGAAAATTCTTTTTTAATACGTGAAACCAGCATTAAAATGCACCTTCCCACTCCCAACATTCATTTTATGTCTTCGAAATTCAGAACCGTTCATACAAATGGGTGCTTTTGTTTACATCTGCGCATAACGAATCGTCTTTTATCATAACTGCGCAAATACAGGGTGCTATTATTCACAAATCATACTTTGACATTCAGTAGGTATTTCTTTTATATATTGATACACTATGAAGAAACTGACAATGTAATGCAATATATATATATATATATATATAGATAGATAGATAGATAGATAGATAGATAGATATATTAGTTAATAACACAAGGACAAATGAAAGGGTACCAATATAATCAGTACGATAAACATTTATTAAATATTAATTGTTAACGATATGACAGAAATGAAGCACGCAAAGAAAGATTTTAAGTTCGGAATTTTCGGACACGCCTGTGTTCTTTATCAACGGACCGAGAAATAAATATAGAAATGGGAATTAATCACCGTCAGATGTTTTTGTGGAAGTTA